TTGTGAGCCACCGTGTGGTTGCTGGGAATTGAACTCAGGACCTCTGGAAGAAAAGTCAGTGCTCTTAACCTTTTAGCTATCTCTCCAGCTCCTATTTCTATTACTCGTATGTGTAGTGTTTTCATAGTGTCCCAGATTTCTTGGATGTTTGTGTCAGGGGTTTTTTATTATTATTATTTAATGGTTTCTTTGACCAATGTATATATTTCTTATGTCATATCTTCAACACGTGAGATTACTCTTCCCTCTCTTGTATTCTGTTGGCAATGCTTGCATCTGTATTTCCTGTTAGCTTACCTAGGTTTTCTATCTCCAGGAGTCCCTCAGTTTGTTTTCTTTATTGTTTCTCTTTCTGTTTTCAGGTCTTGAATGGTTTAATGCATTTCCTCAACTGTTTGTTTAGATTTCTTTAAAGGATTTTTTCATTTGCTATTAAGGATCTCATCATCTTCATAAAATTGGTTTTAAGGTAGTTTTCTTGTGTTTCACCTCTGTTGAAATATTAGGTGCTTGCTGGTGGTTACTGGGCAACTGGGTTTGGGGTCTAGGTGCTGATTTCTGAGTTTGTCTTTGTTGGATGGCTGATTTGTTCCTTGGTCTCTGTTTCCTCTCTGGTCTTCTGACTAGAGTCGCCTGTGGTTGAGCTGTACTCATGTTGGGGACTGAACTTCAGACTGGATTTGTGGGCCAGAATATGGCTACAAGGAGGGGAGGGGTAGTTGAGGGTAGGCTGGGTGAGCACTTGGAGAGTGGGGGCAGTCTGCCAATGGGTGGTCTTCTTGGAATTCTGGTAGCTGGCATGGAAAGGAGGCTTTTGCTGGATTTGTGGAATGGGGTATGTGGGGTTGTTGATTTTTGAAGAGACGTTTTTGTGATGGCTTTATATGTTACTAGTGTTTTATATCTTTCCAGCACAGCCGAGTAGAATAAGCATGCTTCTGTGCTTCATGTTTCCTTTGCCTCATGAGTCCTAGCAGTGTTCATTGTTGCTTAAAGCTTAGCTGTAGAATTAGTGTTGGTTGTGGGGAGAGGTAGTTGAAGGTGATGTCAGTTTGGAAGAGAGGAGCACAGCCCTATAAGCCTGAGGCAGTGGGCCATGGTAGTGTGGGGATTTACACTGAGGGCAGTGTTTGTGTTTTCTGATCTTCAGAGCCTATAGTTGGTAAGGTTTGTGGAAGTGTGCATTGAAGTAGAGGATCCCTTGGCTTCTTTACTTCACAAGCCAGGGTGTGTGTGGAGTGTTATGTGTGTGTGTGTGCCAGTTAAGCAGAGTGGACCGTGTCCTGTTGCTTCCCTTCAGTGGCAGAGGTGCGAACTGGAGGTGGATTACGTGTTGGGCTTTTTTGACTACCCAGGCTACTTTGGAGAGGAGATAACGGGGAAATTGAGTCTCTTTGGGGGTTCTTAGTCTTACTAATGAAAAAATTAAGAGTTTATTTAAATGGAAGCTCAAGAACAATTTTATTAGAACCAAACCCCCTGCCCCCAGCAGACAAGGGTAAAACCTAATAGAGGAAGGAAAGAAAAAGGCCATATCAATTTAAGTGGGTATAGAGGGTCACATGGTAGACTTCTGAGAAAGACTAAGGAAACCCAAAATGTTGGGAGGAAGGCCCAAATTCTTAAGGAGAGCATGCTTAGAAAAAAGGTATTAGAAAAGAAATAAGCACTTTACTAAATAATCCAGGACAGCCTTACAGGTCTGTTCTCCATAAGTAATTACACTTGGTGGGGATTCTGGGAAGAAAATGTTTAATCTCTCATGAAATGACTAAATTATTCTACTTATTTCTTTAGCCTGCCTTCCCAAAGATAATGAATAATGAGGTTCAGATAGAGTGTTAGACCTCTACCTAGGCCAGAGAGTCTATTCTCTTAACTAGGAGTTTTTCTATTCAGATATCCTAGTAATCAAACAATGTTTCACCTTCCTAGCTGGAATGGGTGTCACTGAGTGGTGAAGGTGTTGCCCAGAAGCAGGAGGCTGTCCATCACTTTTTTTCTCTGGGGCAGATCTAGTGGGCAGTTGAAGTTTGCACCAGAAGGAAGGGTATGAACCTTACCTTTTCCTGTCTTTAGTCTGTGCTGGCTTGGATGGGAAGTGTATGCCATGTTTACATTTTGTTTCAGATTTTTTTATTGTTTTTATTGAGCTATACATTTTTCTTCACTCTCATCCCTTCCTCCCCTCTTCCTTTCAGCCCTTTCTCATGATTTCCACATGCCCAATCTACTCAGGAGATCTTATTTTTTTTTCTCCTTCCTATATAGATCCATGTATGTCTTTGTTAAGGTCCTCTTTGTTATCTAGTTTCTCTGGGGTGGTAGCCTGTAGGCTGGTTTTTCTTTTCTTTATGTCCAAAAGCCACTCATGAGTGAATACATATTACATTTGTCTTTCTGGGTCTGGGTTACCTCACTCAATATGTTTTTTCTATTTCTGTCCATTTGCCTGTAAATAGCAAGATGTCATTATTTTTTGCTACTGTGTAGTAATCCATTGTGTAAATGAACCACATGTTCTTTATTCATTCTTCGGCTGAGGGACATCTAGGTTGTTTCCAGGTTCTGGCTATTACAAATAATGCTGCTATGAACACAGTTGAGCACATGTCCTTGTGGTATGATTGAGCGTCTTTTAGGTATGTACCCAACAGAAGTATTGCTGGGTCTTGAGGTAGATTGTTTCCTAATTTTCTGAGAAATTGCCTTACTGATATCCAAAGGGGCTGTACCGGTATGCACTCCCACCAGCAATGCAGAAGTGTCCCCTTTACCCCACATCTCTCTAGCATAAGCTGTCATCAGTGTTTTTGATCCTGGCCATTCTGACAGGTGTAAAATGGACTCTCAGAGTTATTTTGATTTGCATTTCTCTGATGGCTAAGGATGTTGAACAGTTCCTTAAGTGTCTTTCAACCATTTTAGATCCGTCTGTTGAGAGTTCTCTGTTTAGGTCTGTACTCCATTTTTTTTATTGGATTATTTGTTCTTTTGATGTCACGTTTCTTGAGTTTTTTGTATATTTTGGAGATCAGTCCTCTGTCCAATGTAGAGTTGGTGAAGATCTTTTCCCATTCTGTAAGCTGCCGTTTGTTTATCTTGTTGAATGTGTCCTTTGCATTACAGAAGCTTCTCAGTTTCAGAAGGTCCCATATATAAATTGTTTCTCTCAGTGTCTGTGCTACTGGGGTTATATTTAGGGAGTAGTCTTTTGTGCCAGTGTGTTCAAGTGTATTTCCCACTTTCTCTTCTGTGAGGTTCAGTGTGGCTGGCTTTATGTTGATGTCATTGATCTATTTGGACTTGAGATTTGTGCATGGTGATAGATATGGGTCTATTTTCATTCTTCTACATGTTGATATCCAGTTACATTCATTTGTTGAATATGCTTTATTTATTTATTTATTTATTTATTTATTTATTTATTTATTTATTTTTGCTTCTTTGTCAAAAATCAGGTGTTCGTAGGTGTGTGGATTGATATCTGTGTCTTCAGTTCGGTTCCATTGGTCCTCCTGTCTGTTTTTATGCCAATACCAGACTGTTTTCAGTACTGTAGCTCTGTAGTAGAGTTTGAAGTCAGAGATAATCAAAATTCTTTTATTGTACAATCCTATACAGGATTGCTTTGGCTATCTTGGATTTTTTTGTCGTTGTTGTTTTTCCATATGAAGTTGAGAGTATTGTTATTTCGAAGTGTGTGAAGAATTTTCCTGGGATTATGATTATATTTTTGTCTTGCCTCCCCCACCTATGGTATTGGAGATCGACTGTCAGACCTCAACATTGTACTCTACTGTTCTTCCACACTCCAAGGCTTATAGTGGCTGTTTCAAAATAACTATCTGATACTTCTTTTTCTCATTTATTTCTTTTTAAAAATCTTTTTATTGAGCTATATATTTTTCTCCACTCCCCTCTCTTCCTCTTCCCTCCCTTTCTATCCTCTCCCATGGTCTTCATGCTCCCAAGAGTGTTTTTAATGATTGCTTCCATTTTCTTGCCAGGTCATGGATTGCTTTTCATTTGTTGTATTTAGTAATTATTTTATTGTATGCTGGATATTAGGGTCATTATATTTTGTGCCAGCAACTGTTCAGCAGCAGGCTACTTTATATTGTAGGCTTAGCCCTTCAATGGGTTGTCAGTATTATTCTCCATGTTGTCTTGTTTGCTCTTAATAAACTCGCTCAAAGCTTATGTTCCAGCCAGAACCTTCTGCTCTTCGATCACACCCCATGTTTTTAATATGGATGGATGTTTTGCCTGCATGCATGTCTTTGTATGATGCATGTCCCTGGTACTCAAAAGAGGCCAGAAAAAGGCGTGGAATCCTCTGTGACTGGAATTACTGAGAGTTGTGAGCTACCACTGGGTGCTAAGAATCAAACCCTGGTTCTCTGGAAGAACAGCCAGTGCTTCTAACCTCTGAATCATCTCTCCAGTCCCAGTACCAATTTCAGTTTTTCATTCTTAACCATATCATGAGTTTCTACTATAATTTTTTCTTCTTTAAAATATGTATCCCTTTGGTTTTATTCAATTTCCAAAATTTACACAAGGTTAAAGCACCAACTTCTGTTATCTACTTCATTTTTTAATTTCTGGGATGTTTCTTGATGAAATATAATTCACATTACAGTATGAGAATAAATAACCACTCGGAATAATAACCTATATTTTTTAACCTATATTTTGAATTCTTTGTGTAAGTAGATTTATTTTAGGAGGATGGAATTAGGAGGTTATTTCTTCCAAGAATAAAAAGTGACATGACAATTAAGGACATCTTATTTTGGTTTCAGATATATTTTACCACCAATTAAGGAATATTATATGTATTGATATTAGAAGCACAGAATATATAAGAAAGCAATAATTTGTTTCATATCACTTATTAGCACAAATGGATGCATAATTTTAAAAAGAAACTATTGTATTTTATATCTTGTTTCAATATAATTAAAAAGGTGTCCCCTCCCCCCAATTTCTTTCAGTAATCCTAAATCGGAGAGTCAGAGAGTAAATAAAAAAGTCAACAATGATGCTTCACTTAGAATTCATAATCTATCCATTTTGGTGAAACAGATAAAATTTTATTATCAGGTAAGTGGCTGTTTTCTTTTAAATTAGTATTTTGTACACATTTATATTTTAAAATGATTATTAAGAACTTTTATAAATGTAATAGTATGGTGGCCTACATGAGTTACATTTTTGATGTGTGCTTTTTTTACACTAAGTTGGATACATATTTCAGTTGTTAATTCTGAGCATTATTTTTTTAAATATCTGGATATTTTGCCTGCATGTATGCCTGTGTACCATGTGCGTGCTTAGTGAGTATGGAGGCCAGAAGGAGACAGAGCCCCTGGAACTGGAATAACAGATGGTTGTGAATCACCATGTGGTTGCTGTGAAATGAGCCAGAATACTCAGAAAGAGCAACCAGTGCTCTTAACATCTGAGCCATTTCTCTAGCCCCAAACCTTAATTCTTAATGCCACTAAAGTATCACTTAAGATTGGTGTATTTGCTTTACACAAACTTTTGTTTCATAAGCAATATTTAAATGTTTATTTTAGTATGCTTTGTTCTGTTTTATGTATGAGTTATGGAGAAGTGTGCTTTTAAAACATACAAAGTTTTTTATGTAATTAAATTCTTTGTTTAGAAAATTTAGTTTATATGCTTCTGATTTTTTGACCTTTTTTTGGAGTGCAGGTTGGTTTGGTTTGGTTTTTTGTTTGTTTGTTTGTTTGTTTGTTTGAGACAGTCTTTCTTTGTAGCCATGGCTCTCCTGGAACTTGCTTTATAGACCAGGATGGCTTTGAATTCAGAGATCTGCCTGCCTCTGCCTCCTGAGTGCAGGGGCTAAAGGCATGGCTATCAAGCCTGGCTCCAAATTTGAGTTGAATATATAAACTCACTCAGACAAAAACAGACACCTCTCAACATGGGGCTTAAACCTACAACCCTGGGATTAAGAGTCCCATGTTCAGGACAGTGGAAGAGATGCCCCCCCCACCATCAATACCTGAGGCAGGTGGGAGAGCTGGCCCTGAGAGAATAAGGGCAGGAGAGCTGCCCCTGCGTCTCACATAGACAGCACAATAGAGCCAGCCCCATTGGCAGAGGTTTGGGTGAGATGGAAGAGCTGTGCCCATTACTCATCTGTCATGTGGCAACATGGGTGGGGGAGAAACCCACTCTATCCATCAATGCATGAGGCAGGAGGAAGAGCTGACCCTGAGGTCATATAACTGGAGAGTACAGCACTCAGGAGAGTGACCCCTATGCCACAGTTGGGCATCACAGTAGAGCTGACCCTGAAGGTGTAGGTGTGGGAGAACTAATTCTGAGGACATGAAAACAGGAGCGTTCTCCTGGACCAAGGGCCTAGCCCCTTGGTCATCACTGCAAGGGATGGACTAGCCAAGGCAATACAGGAGAGATCACCCTGGTGATGAGGGCAAGGGAAAACTAACAGGTTGACCAACCCTGTAACTACCCTGGCCCAGAACCAGGGTTATGTGTTGGCCCAGCCCAACATCCACTCCATCTGTGATCTGCTGGAGCATGTGAAGGGACCCAAAGCTTCAGGATCTCCACAACACAGGGCAACATCAGGATAATCAAGAGGAGTCCCAGTGAGGCCCAGTATTTGATAGTGTAGCAGAAACCAGAGGCCTCAAACCAGACCTCTTTGCAATAAACATTTGCAAGTAAAGATATATGGATAAAAAGGTTTTACTGTATGACTTACTATGTCACATTACAGCTTCCATAACAAGATTTGTCCTTTTTTTTCTCCTAAGTTTTATTTTATTTTATTTTATTTGGGGGGGGAGTTGCAAGGACAGAGGGCAGATATGAAGGGACAGGGAAATAAATGTGATGGAGATGCATGATGTGAAAGGCACAAAGAATGAATAAAAAGAAAGTTAAAAGAGTTCCATGCTCTGCCAACGGAGGTAGATGGGCAAGTGACTTTTCTTTATAATTACTTAGTATAGCTTTATTGATTTCTCTCTTGAGCTTTTGACTATTGAGAAAGAAGAGTTGAAGTGCTACCTTAAGCTGAAGGATTTACCAAGTTTTCCTTTATATACTTTGAAGCATTATTAGTAGGTGCATATGAACATAAAATTGTTTTGGAAAATGATGACAGAGGTTTCTTTCCCACCCGGTTCCGCAGCCATTCAGTTCTAAAGAAACACACAGAGGCTTACATTAATTATGGACTGGTTGGCCTATTAGCTCAGGCTTCTTATTAACTAACTCTTATATCCGAAAATTCTTGTCTATGTTAGCCATGTGGCTTGGTACCTTTTATTAGTGAGGCATTCTCATCTTGCTTCCTCTGTGTCTGGGTGATGACTACAGACTCAGCCTTTCGTCTTCCCAGAATTCTCCTATTCTGGTCGCCCCACCTATACTTCCTTCCTGGTTGCCCACCTATACTTCCTGCCTGACTACTGGCCAGTCAACATTTTATTAAACCAATACAAGTGACAAATCTTTTCAGGGTACAAGACCATTGTTTCATAGCAGAGAACTGGATCATTGTGTCTACAATTCTCCCTGATTATTGGTTGAAGTATTCTGAGGAAAATCTTTTATTTCTTGTTTCACAATTTCATGTACGTATATACAGTGTGTCTTAATTATATCCAATCACCCTCACTTGCTATGCCCTCCCACTCCTCCTGGAAACCCCTCCCCCACCAAATCCTTTTAGTGCTGCCTGCTGGGTGACTGATCTTGCTGGCAGCCTGTTCCTAAGTACAGTAGTGATGTCATGTCCAGAAGACTGCATGAGACCCTCTGGCTCTTAGTTAGGTTCTTTCTGCTCTTTCTTTCTCGGTGTTCTTGAAATTAGTATTTTTATATGAAATTTGTTTCTCATCCACTCTGAAAATACTTAAGTGCTCATCATACTTAACAAAGGCCAAAGTTAGCCTGTATCTGTGTTCTTTTGTAAAATAGTGCTATAACCATGGAATAGATTAAATAATCTTTATGGCTTTTAAACCCTTCTTGATTTGTATTTTTTCTCTAAAGATTTATTATATGAGTGTTTGTCTGAATATATGTATGTGCACCATGTGTGTGGGCAGGAGCCTACAGAAGCCAGAAGAGGGTGTGTTATCCTCTGGACTGTAGTTACAGGTAGTTGTGAACTGCCATGTGGGTGCTGGAAATGAAATTTCTGCAAAAACAGCAAGTCATCTTAACCACTGAGCCATCTCTTCAGCGTCTCTATTTTCTTCCAATTTGACTAAGTATTTTTCAAATCAAACCAATGTTTCTTTTCTTTTTCGAGACAAGGTTTCTCTGTAGCTTTGGTGCCTATCCTGGAACTAGCTCTTGTAGACCAGGCTGGCCTCGAATTCATAGAGATCCGCCTGCCTCTGCCTCTGCCTCCTGAGTGCTGGAATTAAAGGCGTGCGCCACCACTGCCCGACTAAACCAGTGGTTCTTTAAACCAAGCTGCAGATTTCTTTCTCCCGTGTGAGTGTCCAATGTCAGAAGAGGGGGTCAGATCATTTGGAACTGGTGGTACTGATGATTGTAAATACCATGTGAGTAATGGGAATCAAATGTAGGTCTCTGTAAAAGCAACAAGTACTTTTAACTACTGAGCCATCTCTTCAGTCCTTTTTGATTTTTAAGACTTTAGTTTATGTGTATCCATGTTTCGCCTATATTTATGCCTGTGTAGCACATATGTGCAGTGCCTATGGGTATCAGAAAAGGGCATCATATCCCTTGGAACTAGAGTTACAGAACGTTGTTAATTGCCATGTGGGTCCTCTACAAGAGCAGCAGTCTTAGCCACTGAGCCATCTGTCTCTTCAGCCCCTACAACTGTATATTCTTGACTAATTATCTTATAGTTTGTTGATAGTAAAGATTGTTCTCTCTTCTGATTGCTTTGACTTGATATCAACTCTTTTCAGAATTACATATTGCTATTCTTAATTGTCTCAGCTTCCACTTAATTCTCTTTTTACTTTCATTCTTTTTTTGCAGATAGAAAACAGTAGGATTTTCTTAATTCAGTAAGTTATTTTTGTGTGTGTTTGCTGTATTGTGCAGTGAGTACCACTGTCCTGTGTCCTCAGCCCTGGAACGCATCTTTTAATTTAGTTAGGACTGTCTACATTTAGTTGTATACTGACTTATTTGCTGACTTCTGTAAACTTGTTCTCCTCTTTGGAAAAAAAGAAACGACATCATTCTTTCTCTCTTGTTTACCTTAGAGGTTTGGTGTTTTACTGAGTTGGACATATTTTATTTTTTCCTTTTTGTCATCTGTTTCTCTCTCTAAGTTTTATTCTTTCCTAATCTAAAAATTGTGACTTTTCTTTCACCCTTTAACTACGTTAATTATCTTCTGCAGTGCTGGTTTAGTAGCTATGCATTGCTTTTAGTCTGTGCTGCACTTACAACATTTTTATTCTCTGTTGATTTTAAAAGAGTCTGATAGAATTTTATCAACACATAAAAACACCAGATCAAAAACAAATTGAAACAATGGAAAGAAATATTTAAAACATCCAGAAAAAAACAGCATAGACATATATCTACCCATCATTAACTGTGTATGTACTTGGAATAAAACCTGGAGTCAAAATAGTAACAACAGCTGGATGGAGATAAAAAGAACTAATTGTTCATCAGGAAAGAAACAATTCAAGAGTAAAATATAGTTTGAACTTAGGGAGTCAGTGAACATACTTTATAGGAAAAGGAAACAAAGATGAATAGAATATAAAATATATTAACAAAATGAAATTTAGGTCAAAAGCATAAAATGTGACAAATGAAGTAATTATGTAATGAAGGAGACAGTTTAACAAAGAAAAACGAGTCTGCTAGTTATAGTCATGTTGGTTGGCCGTTCTTTACTCTCAGCCCTTGGGATGTGTTGTGTATTTTCCTGACTAGCGTTTTCCACTGAGAGGCCTAGTGCTATTCTGATGAGTTTTCTTTTTAAGTGAACTGGTGTTTTTTCTTGCAACTTTTAAAATTGTTTCATTTTGTGGTTTTAGCATTTTAACAACATGTATTTTTTTTTCTTTTTTTTTATGGTTGAAAAA